GTGACTAAGATATAGTTAGTAGGTCAATTTGTACATAGTTTGATTTCTAATGACCATCGTGATGAGGTTTTCTTGATTAAGGGAAGAACTTTAGTGGCCATTACTGCATTGTAGGATGGTGGCCGTGTTGAAGAGAAGGAAGCATAAAATGGAAGTTAAGGACTGTCAGTCGGAACAAAAAGGATTGGCCTTTGTAGAAAAGGACTGAGACGCTACGTAGGTGGCTATTAGTAAAGGCTTAACTGACTGTGAATTCTAAATTGGAAGAAAACTTACCATATTTGAGAACAAGTAGCGCAGATCAACGATTCGCAAATGCTTCTTAAGTAGCTCCTTCTGTGAAGAGACGCTGATGTGAATGCACGCTTCACCCAGTACAGTTCCTTATATTGGAATTTATTTTAACTAATCAATCAAAGTTAACTGCGAAATCTTCAGTTACAAATTTTATCTCTCGTTTATTTTAATTTCTTAGCACACTTTCCGGTTGGAACCTAATATGCTGACCTTGGTGAAAACAAAACAGCATTAGTAAGGACTTTAAATTGCTGGATCTGGATAAAAATACGTATCTAATGTTACACGCTAAATATAAAGATAAGCTGAATATTACTATTGAATACTATACTTTATAAAGGGTGATTACATAACATAGGACAGAACACTTCTTGGTGTCCTAGCAAAACAACTGAATTTTAACACAAACTGATCACAACGTGGTTTTGTCCATTGCAGTCTTTATCAATAGTCGTGTTTTAAAAAAACAGCCGCCGTCTCAACAGATCAAATTAATGGAGTCAATAGGGCAATTTATGAGAAAAAGTCAACACGTGTCTTACCGTAATACACATCTTACGATGAAAAGAAAAGAATTAAGCGAACGTTGCGTGTTAAATTTTACTGTTCCTTTGAAATAAGAAACGAATAGGCTAAGATATGAGACCGTAAGAACCGTTGACTGTCAAAGTATTTAGCCCGTGTGGACTATTCCAATGTATACAAACAGTTGTGATCACATGTAAGGTATAAATTCAGCGTATATCCGATTTGTCATATAAAAAGGTTGATACACTGATTGAAAGAAGAGCATACGTGTCATAAGGTTCTCAAAGTCTAAACAAATGTTACAAATTGATAAGTAGGAGTTATGAGTAAATTAAAGAAGCCTTCATGAAAAAGATCTGCAATAAATCTATCAGCTACAACAATAAATGCAGAGCCGTTCCAAAATATAAAAACAGTTGAAGATGGACGGCTCGAAACATTTTTTCAGTGGTTGTCTTTACACTAGGCCGTTAAGTAACACTTAAGAGCTGCTAAGTTTTACTTAACCAAAAATGCGTGTGAAGGCCTAAGTAAAATCTAAAGTAACTTTACTTTGCATCTCATTAAAGTCGGAAAGTCGAAACCATTCAAGAAAGTTCCAAGTGACTTGAAAACCATCCTTAAAACCGACGTAGCGAACTTGCGATTTCTAAGCTTTGAGAAAGGCGAAGCATGTCAATCAATCTTCATTATGTCACGGCATGGGAAAATAGGCTTAAGTAAACTTAACGTAACAAAGATAGGTTATGTGTGAAGCTTTTCTTTTACTTGAAGAATTTAAAATTTACTTGCTTGAATTATTTCTTAGCGTATTTATGCTCTAGTGTAAAGACTACCAGTGGTTGTCTTTACACTAGGTTGTTAAGTAAGACTTAAGAGCTGCTAAGTTTTACTTAACCAAAAATGCGTGCGTGAAGGCCTAAGTAAAATCTAAAGTAACTTTAATTTGCATCTCATTAAAGTCGGAACGTTGAAACCATTCAGGAAAGAGTCAAGTGACTTGAAAACCATCCGTAAAACCGACTTAGCGAACTTGCGGTTTCTAAGATTTGAGAAAGGCGAGGCATGTCAATCAATCTTCATTATGTCACGGCATAGGAAAATAGGCTCAAGTAAACTTGAAGTAAAAAAGATAGGTTGTGTGTGAAGCTTTTTTTTTACTTGAAGAATTTAAAATTTACTTGTCTTGAATTATTTCTTAGCTTATTTAGCCTCTAGTGTAAAGACTACCAGTGTCTAAGTTTGATAAACTGACTAAAATAAGAACATTTGTATTAATGAGAATCTAAAAGAAAAAGGACCTCAATGATTAAAAAAGGACTCCCAACATGAATTTTCGGCTTTTTACATCATGTTCATACCGTCTAAAAAAGGAAACAATTCACCTTTTCGTGAACAGAAAAAGCAGAGAGTATAATCCCGAACCCTGTGGAATGCCACAAGGCTCGACTATCTTATTAGAAACAATATTCGGCCATAAGAAACAATGAAACTTAAGTTGCTTGCTAGTCATTAATAACGCTTCTGATTCCCTTGTCATATAATTTTTTTGATTAAAATTGTTTATATGACTGAGCGGAAAGCTTTTATTAAGTTCTTTCATGAACTCACAGGTACATTAAGAGTACTGAATACCCGAAGACAAATACGTAGCTGAGGTCTTTTTACGAGAGTGGTGGTAAAAGAAACCGAATGGGAAACCCTGAACAAGATAACTAAAATTGTGCCACAAGTCTCAAAAAGGCAAAATAGTAATAAAAATTGAATGGCTGTACTGATTTAGCTAGGGTTAGAGGAGCTGTTATTGGCAATTATCAAAAACACATTAAACTGAAACTAATCATATACCCAGTACTATAGTAAGGTGTCACACGGAAGCGTTGTTTTCAAAAGGTTTAATCATTAAAGATCGTTTACACTTCTTCCGTCCTACTTCTCTTTGCTAAAATTAATCCCTTGGTTCTTACGCCACTGCGTATTTCTGCGTTGATTTGACTCTGAAAGGAAGTCAGACGAGCATAGAGAGGCGTGCAATGGAAATTTCACACGGCCCAACGGAAGTGTAATCCTTGTTGTGACTGGTTACATCCAGTTTGCGGTCAACATAGTTATACCCTGACATCTTCACAGGCTTCTTTGCCCTAACAAAAGAAGAGCAAAACCTAATAATACAAACTGTCAGCTTAAATCTTTACCAAATACCTTTAATATTGGTCACAATGCTCTTGTTGTGCACAGTATTCACCCTTTGCCCCAACCACAGGTAAAAATCCATGATGGGACTATTATCCCATTTTTAGGCCCGAGAAGTGCCGGCGATGGTTTTAAAATCGGTACACAGTACTTAGGACAAAAAGTGCCCTCAAGGGGACAGTAAAACAAATCAACACTGAAATTTACTCCGAAATGTTAACTAGTTCTTGAAAACCGAATTGGAGCAACTGAATGACACACAATTTGATAACATGAGGTTTACAAATGTATATAAATCAAAAGTTAGGGCAAAAAGGAGCGTAAATTCAATTTTCATTTGAACCATTGTGAGATCTGGGCTCTTTTCCAGTTCATAATTATTTTAAAACCTAAGCTGAACTTATCCCTTTTGTTTATTCCAAATCGTGCCCTTCAGATTAGTTAGATCATTTGAGGCCCTAAATGACAATTTTCATATCTTACTTGTAAGTAGTTTTGAAGTCACACAAATAATGACCACCTCCTTCCAACTTCAGAGCCATTTAAAGTTGTTTCCAATCAGCATTCCATCTCGTGCATAGACACGCTCAGTGTTGGGTTCCCAGCCCTGTGTCTTCTTTGGCAAAACAGGTCCATTGGCAGGAAAGTTCAAACCAGTGAATTTGACATGGTAGATGAAACAGTTGCCTTGGATGCTTTTTAAAACGAGACGAAAACATGTTTTAATAAAGTGAAAAGTGCAATGGAATGGTCGTGGATATTTTCATAATGATACTCTACAGCGCCTACGCAATGTCAGACGATTCGCCGTTTCTAACGAAGAGAAAACTTACTCGTAAGGCTTTCCTTTTCCATCGCCTTCAACCTCAAAATAGTGTTTATTGACCGTGCCTGTCATGAAAACATACATACATACATGCTTTAGTTGGTAAAGCAGGTTGAGATGGCAGCATGAGGTGAGGTGGACCTACTAAACTATATTAAATAGTTACATAATAATCGAAAATTACCAAATATACTAACTATACAAAAGAAATGTCAAAATATTACAATACATACTATCAAAATTAGTAGAAAAAGAATTTCAGCTACAAGAATGCAAAAGAAAGCGGCATGATAAATCAATAAAATAATTTGTAAAAAAGGTAATCTAAAAGTAAATACAGTCATCAGTGTTCTTGTATGTAACAGTGGAACTGGTCCCAAAAGATATTCCACCGATAGTGTTTTGCAATATTTCCTTTAAAAGATGCAATGCGGGAAGGTGATGACTTGATATTTACAGGTAGAGCATTCTATATTATGCAGGTTCGATGAGTGAAAGAGTCACTGAGTCTTTTCCAGTAAGAATGGGTTAAATCAAATATGAGGTTGTCCCTTAAATTGTATTTAGTCACATGCTTAGTGAAGAGATTTGTAATACCAGGTGGAGCTAAGTTGTAGTAAGCTTGATAAGCAATGCACGCCAATCTTTTCTTGTAAAGATATGATAAGGAGTAACATTTAGCTTTAGATAGAACTTCATTCTTAGGAATGGAGGGACTTACATTATGAATAAGACGAGCAGCACGGATGTGTAAGTCTTCCAGATCATGTAATGAGTTTGGACAGCCCCATAGAGAAATACAGTAAGTTACACTAGGTAATATACTTTAAAAATAGATAGTTTCTAAGTTCGTGTGGTCAAATCTGTTCAAGTTTGTTTAGTTTTGCATTAAAATTTGCAGTAATGGCTTTAATGTGGGTTGACCAACAATGTTTATTGCCTAAAGTGACTCCCAGACTTAGAGTGAGATACATAGTTAATCGAATTATTTTCTTGGGTGATAGGCAGATTTGGTCCAATAAAGAGCGTCTTTGATACAAACATAATTTCAGTTTTGACAGGATGAATGGACGTGCAGTTGCAACGTGCCCAGTTTTGTAATTGTCGCAAAATATTTTGAACATGAGGTCATTTGTTTAGCGATCATACTCTGTTAAAGTAAAAAAGAAAACAGCGGGAAAATTCTATTTTAAGGGTCAGTTGTACCAATGCAAATGTGCCCACGGTAAAAAAAATGCCAAACTAGAGGGACTACAACTAAAAAATGTACAGCTAATGACAAAATAAAGCTGCTTTTCAAGGCTGCTGCATATAAAACGTACTGAACTAATTCAAAACTGTGGTGACGCGGTTTAGGTTTGACGCCATCATCAGACTCTTGCAGATCGTAGATCACGAGAGAGCGGGTTGTTCTACACCTTAGTTCCAGGATGCGAAAAACGGTCTTTTAAATAATTGGTCTTAAATCGTCATGTATGCTTGGTCGACTTCAAACGCATCACTAACTTGAAGTCCTTTTTATAGGTTTCAGTGAGGGAGATAATAATAATGATAATAATAATAATAATAATAATAATAACAATAATAATAATAGTAACTAGCATTTCTAAACATGTATGGCCTCTACAGATAGTTCTAAAAGCTTTACATTTCTCAGTCTATGTTCCTAGTGATAACAAATCACAAAAGAGAAAAAAAAGATGATGAAATAAATAAATAAAGCTGACTAACAAAAATTAATTAATGCGTATTCAGCTTAGTCTTCTTTTACCGAGCCAGGTTCAGTCTAATTGCATCAGTGGAGGAGCGCAGTGATGAATTAGACTTGTAGACCATCCAATAATTCTTGTAAATACTTATGGCCTAATCCATGTACACATTTAAAAGTAAGAACATATATCCTATAAACTATTCTCAGCTCTACTGGTAGCCAGTAAAGTTCTTTCAAAACAGGAGAAATGTGTTCGTGCTTTCCTAGTCTAACAACAATACGTGCAGCACCGTTCCGAACGTTCTGCAACTTCGCAACCAAATGCTCGGATGCACCATACAACAAAGAGTTGCAATTGTCTATTTTTCAGGTGCATCCAATGACGGTTTCCCCCAAAATACATTTAAGACACTTTTTAGGCTATCCTGAGTACTTTTAGATCTCTAGAAATGCATTCTAAGCAGCGTTGTAGAATTTGTATCTGTTCAGTCATCCTAGGGCAACTTGAGTCTTCTCGAAATTACATCGGCTTGAGAATTATTTTCACGAAACTTTTATTCCTCTCGCCATTACATTTTTGATTTCAAAAATTTTAGATACCCTTTCTTAAAAAAAAAAAATAGCCCGACCTGGAGAGTGAAATGTGAAAAACTATATTTCCGAAAATAATCGCAGGGAATTAATTAGATAAGCCGCGAAAATTGTACATAAATGGAACTGTCATCTAGAAATTTTAACCGTCCTCAAGTTATAGAGAATTCTAGGCAAAATTTGCTTCTCCGAACAGATATTTTCCAGAAAACAGTCGTTGGGTTCCACTAATGTTAGATACAACTAACGCGACAGGATGACCTATTTTATAGCATACATAGCTTAATTTGGAACCTTGGGGTGTGATGGGGACTCTACAGAAGTACAATTGTAGTTACTAAAAGTCGAAACGACCTACAATGATCCACAGCAGCCCTAAATGAGCCGCGTCGACATCAAAGATATAAACCCACAAGCAAGCGGCCATGACATCAAAACCATAATAACCGCATTTAAAATTACTTTGATAAGGCGTTCGTGCCAAATAATTGATTTCCATAGACCTTTCTATTTTCTTTATACAGCAAATTATAAAGGTATGCAAGGTTTCATTTCAAAGAGGTTAGTAAAAATTTGTCATCCATCAAGCAGAACAGAGCGTGAAAGGGTAGATTTTTTGTAGTTTAAAAAGAGCTTATTTTAAAACATCATTACGGAACAAATTCAAGCCTAAGGTAAAATGTTCAGGATAAAAATGTTAAAAAGACAAACAAGCCAACTCCACTAAAATCCAGAGCTGATTTCTTAATTGAGGGCAGAACTGTGGCGGCCATTGGAGAGAAGGAAGTACCAAAGTCAATTTAAGGACTGTCAGCGGGGACAGAATGGAGTGACCTTTGTAGAAAAGGACTAAGATGCTACGTAGTAAATAGTAAAGGTTTAACTGACTGTGGTTTCTAAATTGGAAGAAAACTTACCATAGTGGAGAACAAGTAGCGCAAATGAACGATACGCAAACGCTTCTTAAGTAGCTCCGTCATTGAAAGAGACGCTCATGTCAATGCACACTTCATTCAATACACTTCCTTGTCAAAAGATTAGAATTTATTTTAACTAATCAATCAAAGTTACCGCGAGATCTCCAGTTACAAATCTCATTTCCCGTTTCCTTTTTAATTTCTTGGCACACTTTCAGTTTGGAACCTATCTGGTGTACCTTAGTGAAAACGGAAAAGCATTAATAAAAATTTCATTGCTGGAGCTAGATAAACATACCTATCTAATGTTACAGGCTAAATATAAAGATAAGCTGAATACTATACTTTATAAAGGGTGATTACATAACATAGAAGAGAACACTTCCTGGATTTGGAAAGAAATCGATTTTCTTTTACGTTGTGTTAGCAAAAAAACTGAATTTTGAGACAAAATGATCACAATATGGTTTTGTCCATTGCAGTCTTTATCAATAGTCGTGTTTTAAAAAACAGCCGCCGTCTCAACAAATCAAATTAACGGAGTCAATAGGGCCATTTATGAGAAAAAGTCAACACGTGTCTTACATAATACACATCTTCCTTTGAAATAAGAAACGAGTAGGCTAAGATATGAGACCGTAAGAAGCATAGACTGTCAAAGTATTTAGCCCGTGTGGACTAATTGGGGACGCAAATTATCTTAAAGTGTCCTTGAAAAGACGCGTGAAAACCTCTATAAGACAATAGATTTCTTTTGCCGTTAACCGGTGCTCCACCACATAAAAAGCTCCCCGGCTGACTGTCTACATAAAAGCGACAAATAATCCTAAATAGATCGGACAGTTGGTGTTTACTGCACTATTAGCTATTTCATTCAAAGTTACTCACAATAACCGAGTAATTGTGTTACGTAAAATGAAGACGTCACTGTTTTATCACTCGTGCAATTTATGGCAAAATTAACGCCGAAGCCTAGGCCAAACAGTGTTTGGGAAAGGCAGTGAAAAATAGTGTTGATTCTTATGGAGAGAATCATGCTTAGTGTTAATTCGGAAATTAATCTAATTTAAACTAGCTGTCAAGGGTTAAATTCACGCGATTCACGCAAATTCAGAAGGCTGGGTAGGAGCGCAAGGTAATGTTGGTAGGGTTAATAAAGGTATTTTTATAGCCTATTCCGTTAAAGCAAAAAGAGTTAGATGGGCGCAACACCGTCTGTGAGCAAAAGAAAAAAAAATTATAAACAACTGTTACAAATCAAATAAGCAGGAATAACGGTGTATGAGTAAATTATATATCCTTACATGAAAAAGATGTATCAGCTAACAGAATAAATACAGGGCTATTCCAAAGTATAAAAACACTTGTGATGACATGTAAGGTAATATATATATTTAGTCAAGCCTAAAAACGGAGCTCCCGATTTCTTTACAATAATGTAATGATAATGATAATAATGATGATGATGATACCCCTACATTGTCCAATGTCGCGTAA